TAAACAAACACAGTACACTAGTAGTATTTGGAATTTTTATTTGAAGAAATTTTTAAAATTTTTTATGGTACATGCAAAACTGTTTTGAAAAATTATGTCACTCATACGCACTGAATGACCTAAATTTATGATTTTGTTATTAAAACAATAATAATAATTTATAATAAATTTTTTTCTTTTATAAAATGAATACTTATTTTACAAACATTATGAAAATAAGCTGATATTGGAGCAAAAATAATTTCAAATTATAATCAAGTTAGGTTCTACTAAGTAATTTCATTTCAATTAGCAATTAAAAATAATGAACTCAAGGAAATTATCTAGAATATTGAATCGATACCAGTGAAATATGAGTGTAAAAGAAGCCGTAAGTGTGCAATTACACGCCATTTCATAAAGTTGATTAGGTGAAGTGATTTATAAAATACAGCAAAATCAGTGATGATGATTCTGTGAAGGTAAATATTCATTATATAGAAAAAAATTAAATATGTTCTATACTCTGCTCTTTTATAAGTAAACAAGAAATAATTTTTAACAACTGTTTTCGCATTTAAAATTGTGTTAGTTGGAAATTATGTATTAAATTTCAAATAACTGTTTAGGAATATAGAAGTTTAAATGTTGGAGTAAAACTTATAAGGCACAGAATGCCATTTCAGTTGAAGTAAAATCCACCTGATTAATCTATAAACCTGACGATATTCCTAATTAAAAAAAAAAGTGGGAATAGTTTTCTCCAAATTCAAATATTTAACTCCGGCAAAAGTTGTTAGAAGGTAGACCCAGTCATGAACAACGTCATTTTGTGAAGGTGTGGCTCCCTTATTCAAGTTAAAGGAAAATAATCTGATAAGTTCATGCTTGGATATGTTCCTAATTTTAGGTAAGTTTAGAATTGGTTACAAACGTTTTAAATTGTCACTTTGCAAAAACTGAACACTGACATATGACGTTTAGTATAGTTTGTTCTTAATTTGCAGTGCCACAACCTCGGCAAAAATGGTTAGAAAGTAGAATAATTCTCACTGTATGCCATCCTAAACTTTACAGGATG